CATGTCTGGGCAGGTCAACTGAGCTTAGGGTACATTTGTTTTGTAGGTGGTCGACTCCTCCAAAACGGGCTTAAATACGGATGAACAGCGTCTCAAACATGAGTCCAACTGGCCACTTCAAGACCAGTCCATCCCCAGGTAAGTAAACACAGGTAGGTATATCGCTGTTCCGAGCTAACTTCTCCTAACAGTAACGTAAAATTACTAAACATTACCAGACAACGTCCATTATTAGCTCCACTGTCGGAAACACCTCTGAATAAACCCGTAAAACACCCTCAAATCTGAGGAAGCGCTGAGCTACTGGGAGGAGACCCGCTAGCCAGCTGGGCTAACCGGCTAACCCTTAGCGCGCTAGTCAGCTAACAGGAACAGCGGAGCCGCCGGTAAACCGGATTTACCGCTTCAATCTGACCGTCCATGTCGTCTTTCACGCGCGTGTCGGACGTAAATAAGACTCCATGCCAGACTGTCGGATATTATTCAGCCACGGCGGACAAACCCGACCACAGCCTCATCTCTGCAGCTCTGCGTGCTGGAGGAAGGTTATTACAGACGCACCGGCTTCCGGGAGGCGCCGGGCTCTGCCTCTCATTCATTCACAGCCTCTGAGTCACTGAGTCACCGAGTCACTGAGTCACCGAGTCACTGAGCGCGGTTCAGTTTAATCACAGAAGTGAATGAGAGTAAAACCACGGAGCTCCTAATGTGACATGGTTATTATTCTTAATAAGGCGTGGCCACGAGTTACTATATTGAGGCTACAAAAATAACACAGTGAGGGCACAAATTAACATATTCAGGCCAAAAATTACTATTCTGAGGCCACAAATAACTATACTGGGGCCACAAGTTACTATATTGAGGCCACAAATTACCATATTGAGACAACAATGTGCTATACTAAGGCCACAAGTTACTATATTGAGACTACAAATTACTATATTGAGGTCACAAGTAACTATATTGAGGCCACAGATTAACATATTGAGGCAACAATTTACTATACTGAGGCCACAAATTACTATATTAAGGCCACAAATTACTACACTGAGGCCATAATTTAACATACTGAGGCCACAAACTAACATATTTAGGCAACAATTTACCATATTGAGGCCACAAATTACTATATTGAGGCCACAAATGACTATATTGAGGCCACAAAGTACTATATTGAGGCCACAAATTACCATATTGAGGCCACAAATGACTATATTGAGGCCACAATTGACCATATTGAGGCCAAAAATGACTATATTGAGGCCACAAAGTACTATATTGAGGCCACAAATTACCATATTGAGGCCACAAATGACTATATTGAGGTCATAATTTACTATATTGATGCCACAAATTACGATATTGAGGTGACAAATGACTATATTGACCCCTGAAATTAACATATTGAGGCCACAAATTAACATAATAAGGCCACAAACTAACATATTGAGGCAACAGTTTACCATGTTGGGGCCACAAATTACCATATTGAGGCCACAATTAACTATATGGAGGCCACAAATTAATATTCTGAGGCCACGAGTTATGAGAAACTTAACTTGTGGCCTTAATATAATAATTTCTGGTCACACCTTATTAAAAACAATCACCGTGTCACCCGAGGGGTTCATAAGTTCAGATATTGATGAGATGCACTAACAAAAGAAACGCTATATAAAAATAAACAGTGGGAGCAGAACTTCAGAACGTTACACACACGGAGGAGAAAACATTAGTGATAACATCAGACTACAGTCGTGTGGAAAAGTTTTGGCACCCCTTGTCAAATTACATTTTTGTTGATTTAAAGAGTGAAAATAAGTTAACATGTCCTCTACAGGTACGGAAGCCCTGAAGGGCCATGGATTTGCATGTTTTTTTTGTTGTTGTTTGTTTTGTTTTTAGGTACTGCTCCACTGGTGTTTCATTGTGTTGCACTGGTGACGGGATCTGTACTGCTTCGCTATTGGTCTCAACTCTGGTCTTCATTATTTTATTTCAGACCAAAAGGAGAAAAAGAGAAGAATAGTGCCTAACAGTCTTCAGTTCTGCTGTAGTGAAGATCCACCACAGTTCTACACAGTATTTCAGTACCTAAGTATTATATCGCTGCTGTCGGAAGAAAACCTCGTATCTCCATTTTTGTTGTTTTTCAGATATTGACATAATTAGAAAATACCTGTTGTCCTTTACATTGTATGTAAATTTCATGATGAATGGACCAAAAGAAACGGCCCAAAATGACTTGGTAAAAAGTCTGGTTCCATTGACTTCCATTAAAGGTAGAGTAAGTTTTTTCCTTCTCCTGTAAAGTTACCATTTTGGAGATATAAGGTTTTGTTCCGACAACAGCGACATTCAACCTGCTACTCACGTTGCTTTTCTTTTACTTTACTTCACTCTCTGAAACTCCCATTATGATTGAACGAAGTTGATGAGGCTGTCAGGGGTGTTTATTTTCATCCTGGTGATCATAAAACCCCCCTTGAACTAGGCAATGAATTTGGGAACATCATGAAGAAACTGTACGCATACGAAAATCTGATATATGGCAACCTGTATTAGCACATAGGGACTTCCCTCATATCCAACATGTATTTGCCACAAATTGACATGTATGTGAGCTATAAGCCAACATATCTGAAATTTTCAAATATGAGAAATATATTTAAGCCACATATCAACATATATTTAACAATATAGAAAACATTAATGTATGGAAAAGCGTATAGTACTCATATATGTCAGCTTCATGTTATATAATCTAAAGTTTTTATGCATCTTTTTTGTTTTTTTTTCCACAAAATTCCTGCTGATGTGAAAATTAGTATAACAGCTACACAATTACAGTCTAAAACATACACATTGTTATCATTAAAACATTAAATAAATGAAAATATTGTTTCCTGACACATTTGAATATTAAAAACTAATCAGATAACATAACAAATATAACTGTGCATCAGACATGCATGTCTAATCCACATATTTTGCATATATGCCCAACATTTGATACTTATATATATATATATATATGTACATGAATTTTAAGATGTATCGCTGCTGTCAGAACAAAACCTCTCCAAAATGGTAACTTTACAGGAGAAGGAAAAAACCTACTTTTCTTTTAATGTAAGTCAATGGAACCAGAATTTTTTCCATGTAAATTTGGGCTGTTTCTTTTGGTCATTTCATCATGAAATTTACACACAATGCAAAGAGCAGCAGGTACTTTTAAATTGTGTCAAAAACTGAAAAATGACAAAAATGCCGATACGAGGTTTTGCTCTGACAGCAGCGATTTGCCTTATATCACATGCCATATATCAGATTTTCTTATGGGTGTTTGCACCTGTTACTGTAAAATGGCCTCATATTCCTTCCTTTCGACCGATGAATGCTACTCAGCATCTGCCATCATGGATAACAGTTGGTAACAAACATTGGGTGTATGCACCTACTGGCTTTCTCCAAACATGAACGTGCTTGGATGCAAGAAAAGCTGCCTTTGGATTCGAGTGGTTTGTGAACAGCAGCCCTGATATAACCTCTGTAAGCACTTCAGGCACTGACTGCTTTATTGGGAACTCTATCAGCCCCTTCATTGGCTTAGAAAATCCACATATCAAAGTTTGCAAACTTCTCTCGCAGCTGATTCACACTGCTGATTGGTATTCAGCCTAAAATGAACCACAAACTGCACTTAGTTTCTCCACTGGTTCCTGCAGAGCATCTACAAAGGCTAGTTTATACCATTAAATCAGGACGTTTACTGAGAAAACGACCTCCCTGTGCCATCATCCATCACTGCAGGCCTCCACAACATCTACCGATCCTCCTACGGTACTGAATCATCGAATGCCCACACATTTCATTAGCATGGAGATTAGTACGGTATTAGCACCCATAAAAAAACAATTCCTGCTGTCGGATGAAAACATCTCGTTTTTCAGTTTTTGACATAATTTGAAAGTACCTGTTACCCTTTACATTATGCGTAAATTTCATGATGAATGGACCAAAAGAAACAACCCAAAATGACTTTGAAAAAACGTCTGGTTCCATTGACTTACATTAAAAGTAAAGTAGTTTTTTTCCTTCTCCTGTAAAGTTCTAATTTTGGAGATACGAGGTTTTCTTCCAATGACAGCGATATGTTCTGTTTTAAATCAAAAATGCTAAATTTTCTCTAATATCTCATAAACCGCGCCAACTTTACTTTGCAAGTCATTTTCTATGGTCATACAGTGTGTCTGTGCATGGATAGTGTGCAGTTTATCATGCAGTGCACATTCAGCTGTTTGTCATCACTGACGGCTGCTATTATCCAACAGACAACAACAGCCCAGCATTGTGATGTCCACCCTATTCAGTGGCCATAATGCTGACCATATTCTAGAACTGCAGTCAGAAATTGGCTGTACTTCTGATAAAGTGAGAACAAGGGAAAAGGTTGGATGCTGCAGCCTCACTCAAATTAATTCTATGTATTCTTGCATCATGTTTGTGTGTTGGTCCTGGTGTAAAACAATCAACTGTTTTCTATCTGAGAACATTCACCCTGAAAGTGTCGTTTTCTAGCACTTCCTGCACTGCAGCGTTTGTGCATTTGTGTAACGTCGCTGGCTGCATTTTCCAGAAAATTGGCACACTACAAAATTGTGTTAAAGTGCATTTATAACTATAGCCAAATAGTTGGAGCCAAGATGTGTTTAAGTTGTAGTAAAAGAGTTTATCTTCTGAAGAAACATGAATCTCATTAACCCAAAAACTAGGGAAAGATAAATAAATAAATAAATTTATATTTTGTGGAAAGAAAGAAAACAAGTTTATAAGTCAGTATACTAAACCCCACAAACCTATAACTCATTTAAAAGCTGATTTCTGCTCCGTTTAGAAACTGAAGTGCAAGTAAATAAATCCATCTATATTCTCGTACAATTGAGGTTTAGCATCAAGTCAGTAGGTACTTAGAGTAAAGGCAGCAGAGTCAGTCATTGAGTTTTACATGTGCACATTTTATTGGGTTTACATGTCAGTGTAGAGAGACTCCTTGGCCCACATGCCATGGATGGTCCCCTTACCCACAAACCCCCAGGGAAATTCACCAGCAAAAAGATCTTCACTCAAATGGGTAAAGCTTTTCCCTTCCTTTGCATAACAAACAGAACTGGACCGAGTTTAAGGCTGAAGTACAAAAACAAAACCAGACATTGTACTTAATTTACATAAGCAACACTAACAAGGTCATGTGTTCCCACTGCAGCATGGGCGAAATGGTGGATGCAGAATTAAAACATGACACTATTTGGAATGACAAAGAAGAAATGTACATTGAGTCCTCTTGGGGAAAGCTCCTCCCCCGTAAGACACCACCCCCCATTCCAGTTTGCTCGTCCCGAGGCAGCGCGCCATACGGAGCAGAAGCCATGCCCATGTTGTCTTGTCTGAGAGGGGAAGGTTGGTCGTTCTTTTTAGGTCAGCCGGCCACATGGCTGGCTGAAGTGGTTACAGTCCAGTTTAGAAGCACTTCCTGTGGACGATGGAAGGGCCGGACTCATCGTACTCCTGCTTGCTGATCCACATCTGCTGGAAGGTGGAGAGGGAAGCCAGGATGGAGCCGCCGATCCATACAGAGTACTTGCGCTCAGGAGGAGCAATGATCTGCGAAAAGGAGAAAAAGTGAGTTACACACTCAAACCAAGTGATCCGTACAAAAGTTGTACATCTTAATTTTCTGGCACAAAAGTTTTACCTTGATCTTCATGGTGGAGGGAGCAAGGGAGGTGATTTCCTTCTGCATACGGTCAGCAATGCCAGGGTACATGGTGGTACCACCAGACAGCACTGTGTTGGCGTACAGGTCCTTACGGATATCAACGTCACACTTCATGATGGAGTTGAAGGTGGTCTCGTGGATACCACAGGATTCCATTCCTGAGGAAAAAAAGACATATGGTTCCAGTTAAAGGACTAAACTGATAACATGTCAGTTAAAAGTAAGTCAACATAAAAATCAATGCTGATTCAGTTCAAACTACAAGACTTACCCAGGAAGGAAGGCTGGAAGAGGGCCTCGGGGCAGCGGAAACGCTCATTGCCAATGGTGATGACCTGACCGTCAGGCAGCTCATAGCTCTTCTCCAGAGAGGAGGAAGAGGCAGCAGTGCCCATTTCCTGCTCGAAGTCCAGAGCCACATAGCACAGTTTCTCCTTGATGTCACGCACAATTTCCCTCTCGGCTGTGGTGGTGAAGCTGTAGCCACGCTCGGTCAGGATCTTCATCAGGTAGTCAGTCAGGTCACGTCCGGCCAGATCCAGACGGAGGATGGCGTGGGGGAGAGCGTAACCCTCGTAGATGGGCACGGTGTGGGTGACACCATCACCAGAATCCATCACAATACCTGTGGTACGACCAGAAGCGTACAGGGACAGCACGGCCTGGATGGCAACGTACATTGCAGGTGTGTTGAAGGTCTCAAACATGATCTGTGGAAAAAAAGGAATTCATTTAGCAATGCAAGCTACAAAAGGGGTCATCGCACACTTAACTCTGAAAACATGGGTATGCAAACTTGAGTGTGGCTCTCAGGTTTTGGCTTGTTAAACAGTTTCTCAACTCAACAAGTACTGTTAGTTGATGCAAACATCATGCATCTACAGTTCTAAGTCAAAGCAGTGTTGAGTGAAAACACATGCTGTAATAATATTCAAACAGAAAGGGGCAGAAATGAACCTGTGACCTCCAAATTGGAGGAAAAAGATCAGGGCAAAGGATGGAAAGCCTGAGAAGGAAGATAAAGAAATGAAGATATGAACATAAAGAAAAGGGAGGGGACGCCTTGCTAACAAAAACAAGGTTACTGGCAGATCTGCTAACAGATACACACCTGGGTCATCTTCTCCCTGTTGGCTTTGGGGTTGAGGGGAGCCTCTGTGAGAAGGACTGGGTGCTCCTCTGGGGCAACACGCAGCTCATTGTAGAAGGTGTGGTGCCAGATCTTCTCCATGTCATCCCAGTTAGTGACGATACCATGTTCAATGGGGTACTTCAGGGTAAGGATACCTCTCTTGCTCTGAGCCTCGTCACCTACGTAGGAGTCCTTCTGTCCCATGCCAACCATCACTCCCTAAAAGACATTCATTATCCATGTTAACTGCTGAAGCCCTTATTTTCAATAAAATATTCCTAACTGTGGCACCATTTTAACACTAAGAATTATAAAATTAATTCCAAGGCACAATTATTTTAACTTAAATGAAAAATTAAAAACAAATGTGTTAAAATCAGCAAAACATACCTGATGCCTGGGTCGGCCAACAATAGAAGGGAAGACGGCACGAGGAGCATCATCTCCAGCGAAACCAGCCTTGCACATTCCAGAGCCATTGTCAACAACCAGAGCGGCAATTTCCTCATCCATGGCTGTACATGAGAGAAAAGAAAATTAGAAAGCTGGAAAAAAAAATTAACAGATAAAGCACACTTTCAGCAAGTTAAACCTCTGCTCCAGTTAGCGCTCACAGCAAGCTTAAATCCTCTGTGAAGATGTTTCTGGTTGCCCACTAGGTGGCGCAAAGGCACAAGCCTGAAACCCAATGATTTGAGACAAAGGAAGTGGCTGGGCAGACACCACTATTGCCTTATAAGGCAATAAGTTCGACCGGCTCACCATGGCGGATTCAGCTTACAGAATGAGACCAGCACAGCCAGGACCACTCCCCGTTTCAATGGCCTGACGAGAGCTTCAGCAAACTGTCATCATTACATAATTCCCAATATGCAATCTGCAGCTCTTCGCCTCGGATTTAACACCCTACCAACAGGATAACTGATCCTTCCCCATCCTCTCCATCACACTTCAGTCACCTTTAGCTAAAGATTTAACATTGAGATTGTATAAAATGCATGTGAAGCACAAAGTTGCCTGAACAATTCAGCCACCCTACTGAAGAAAATATAAATAAATTATATATAAAATAAAATTGACAGAAAGCAGTAAAGGTTTCTGCTGCTGTCCAATAATCAGTAATAGCATGTTGTGTCTATCCTGATATCACAGTGTAAAGGACTCTAACGGTTTAACAGGTGCTCTGAAGCTGATTCCAGACGCATTTGATGGTTTCCTCATGGGATCCAAAAGGTGCCCTGCAGGAAACCAGCGCTCTCTAATGGCTAGCATTAAACCAAGTCCCATTAGAACCTAAGTTTAATCAGGTTTTAACCTGAAAGGTTCTAGCTAATGGCCTTTTTCAGCAGGGCAAGCACTTTCTAAAGCACAAGCCGGAATGCAAATGACCATCTCTCTTCTGAATGAGAGACCGAGCTGCCAGTTAACGCTACTCAAACCAGCCTTAAAGTCCACTAATCGGTCAAAACGAAGATTTAGACATCTGAATGTCCTTTTTCAGCGTTAACCAACCCATTTCATTATTCGGCTGAACAAGATGCCGGCATTGCATCGAGGTGGCCACACCCACCATTGAAACAGTGTGGGATCAGTGAGGAATGCGGTGACCTGGCTAACCTATGGCGCTAACGGTACTCTTTACGGATGCTGAAAACCACGATCAACAGTATTCAACGCCTAAAATTGCAAAATAAGAGTCTTTTTTTGCAAAATGCACGTACTGAACAACATGCTAACAGCTAGCATAGCGAATCTGCAGAGCAGTTAGCTAACGTTAGCTTCTGCCTAACCAGGCTAAGTTAACGTTAACAGTCAGCCAACTCGACACCATTTCACAGAGAATAGGCAAAAAAGAAGAAATAGGCGGTGTTTAACCCTATTTTAGTAGCTTAATAACGCTGCAATAGATGTTACTCTCAAAAAAAAGTGACCGTTAATTCATTCAGACGGTAACCCGGCTAGGCGTGCAAACACGGTGAAAGCAGCCACGATTTACGAGCTAAAACGAGCCAAATGAGCGTTAGGTAATCATAAACATGATATAATGTGCTGAAACCGGGGCTCACCTGTAAGTTAAAGGTTTTGCAGGGAACCGCCGAGTGATAACCGATCCTCTCCGGGTGCACCGAAAACTCTGAGTAGCCTCCGTAAAGAGGGCTGAAGTCTTTATACCCGGCGCGGCGGCCGGCTCCTTCCATATAAGGTAATGTTTCGGCATCGAGCGCTCTGATTGGCCAGCCGTCACCCAGTTGGCGTGTTTCAAGCTTATTGCTTGAAATTCAAGTTTCGAGATGAAGTAACGTTGTGCGAGGCAGAGCCGAGGGGAACCGAAGGGAAGGTTAAAAAAAAAAACATAAAGGCACAATTTATGACAAGATATCTGTCTAATGATGATGCGTTTCAGCGATGTGGTTCAAATATGTCCCGCAGTAGCGTGTCTGAACGGGATAAACACCAGCTTTAGCGCCGTGAAGCGCCCTCAGAGCATCATAACCGTCATTAGTTCAGTGTTAGCAGTGATGCTATGTTAAGTTGAGCTCGAAAAATAAGACAGATTATCACAGAACCGAGGTAAATTACTCGTCTTTTGGTCTGTTATGTGGCCTACAGGACACTAGCTTAACCCAGCCGGAGATAAGAACGGCTCTTCATCGTTTTACAGCCGCCTGAAATCCGTTTGTAGTTGGTCATTTGAGGGAATTAGCAAGTCAAACGACTCATCCCTTTAAAACGGTCGCCCAGCCCGTCCAGCTCACAGGCAGTGAACCCCTTTCGCATTATTTTGAGCTAAGCAGTGCTTTTCCAGCTCAATACAGGGTGACAATGGGGTTCGTACACAGGCTTGCAGCATTGTCTGTGATATGGGTCAGTTTGGGATTTGAAATGCGTGGGCGTGGCTGCCCGCACTGGTATGGACGAGGACAGGACTGGTCGTCTAATACATGGCTAATACATGCTTAATACGTGGCTTGTTGTCTTGATAATACTCCTCTATCCGCACTAATATGTCTGGATGAAGGGAGATTGGTTTGGCCTAATTGGGCTGTTTTGAACCGAGTGTGAACTGATGGGTCTTTTTCTGCCGTGTCATCTGATGCATTGGGATGATGGCAAACAAAAACAGCCCTGCACTCCTTTGCTGAAAGGGCAATGCCAGTTCTTTTACATACTTAAGATCAGATTTTAATACGCGCTTATTAGGATCACTGGAGTATGGAAGCCCATTTCCGCCACTTAAAATGAAAAAAAGCATCTAATTGTTTTTTTTTTTAATTATTAAGTGAATTAGTATGTCATTATTTTTGAGATACTTTTTCATTATTTTGAGATACTGTCATTAGTTTGATGTGTATATAGCATCTCAAACTAAGGAGATCAAAAAACAATGACTTAGCATCTCAAAGTAATGAGACAATATCTCAAAATAATGACAGCATCTCAAAGTAATGAGACAATATCTCAAAATAATGACTTAGCATCTCAAACTAATGAGACAGTATCTCAAAATGACTTAGTATCTAAATATAATGACTTAGTATCTCAAATTATTGACATAGCATCTCAAACTAAGGTGATAGTATCTCAAAATAATGACTTAGCATCGCTTAGTATCTCAATATTATGACTTAGTATCTCAAGGTAATGGCATAGTATCTCAAAATAATGACTTAGTGATCCACTTAATAATGAAAAAAAACATTATTAGGTGCTGGATTATTTTAAGTATTGAGAATGGGCTTCCAAACAGGAGGTCAGTCCTCCCTGTCCAAGGGATGGGCTGCATTCGTCTGTTGTTTGTTTTAATTATACAGCAAAATCCTCAGTGTTAAATTAGCACTTGCAGTGTCCAGTTAAGTCCAGCAAACACACATGAACACCGCCAGAGTTAATTCAACACTGGAGATCATGCTGTGTGCTGCAACTGTGGACCTGAAAGTGGTGGAGTGAATGATCGTGTGTGCTTTGTATGAATTAGACAGTCTCTTCAGAAATGAAATGGTGCTTTTGGTGCTCTTCCAATCCATCAGAAGTGTTTGTTCATTATGGTCGTAGACATTGAGAATGGCAGACTTGTTTGATCTAGTGCTTCTACAGCCAAATATAAAGCGGAATCAATACAAATACAAATCTGAAGAGCTTCTGTCATCCTCACGTTTTCTCTTTTGATTTCTCCGCCCTGTAGCTCAGCGGAACATGCTTATTAGTAAAGCTGAAACTGCTCAGAAGGTGGGGTGCTTAATAATAACTAAAGGATGTGATTTTCATGCAAAGTGGTTCATGTTTCAGACTTTATGGGTATCTCGAGTGTCATGAAGTTCTGAGAAAGGGGAAGTATGTGTACACAGCAAATAATTCAGACCCCTTTGAGCCTGGTTGTGCGATTTCACGTCAGGACACTGGCCAATGTATCACTGTAGAATTAGGAGAGAGGATATGTTCCAGACACCATTTGTTAATCTCAGCAAACCTACCCACAGATCGCCAATGGATTAGCTTTGGTAATAACTGCCATCTGAGTTTGTTCACAAGAGATAAACAGTGTTTTCAAGAAATAGATGCTAGTCAAGAAAATCCATGCCTTTAGGCTGGTTACCTGACACCCATGAAGCCAAACAGGTCTGCAGCCTCATTTTGACCTACAGTTGATTTCTTAAAGGTTCTCATACAAAGAGTAAGAATGTCCCCAAGAGTTCTATGAAACAGCAAAAAGTATTTTTTTTTATCATGAACGAGGCTATACATGGGCTTAGGGGGTAGGCCTTTTTTTGAACCCCTTTAGCTCTGGCTAAGACCACACAAGTCCTGATGGTAGTGCTATGTGTGGAATGTTTGAATGCAACAAACTGAAAAAAAGAGCTTCTAAGCATGATAAATTGCATAGATAAGTGACCGTGCCCCAACATGACCAAAATACTGGCCAGTAGTTGACTGCAGCTGCTCTATGAATATGTTACGAACAGAACGTCCATGTAAATATAATTGGGGGCATTCTTCGTTAATGCATTCTTCAGTATAATTCAGGACGTCCTAGACTTTTAAACCTTTTCTGTCAGCTTTCTGGCATCATAAATATGTTTCCATGACTTGAAACCCAAACTATATGTAATTGAACCACATATGTGGCATAAATCCCCAAAGGTTACTTGTATTTATGAATTTGCCGGCTACAAAATAAACAGATTACACTAACAGATTTGACAATACAAATCCGACGTATAAGCGTGAAAAACAAACATCCCTCAAGCTGTTTCCTCGTGATTGTCTGGAGGCCGTCCTGTGACTGCTAATTAATGCATACACCATTGCGACATGCTAGAATGTGTGGTGTTTGCTTATTTCACCAAAGTGTGCGCCTGAGGATGAAAGTACCCCTTGGAAATATATTCCAGACAGAACAATTTTAGAATAAACACAACCTTTTGTCTTACCAAGTGGAACCCTTTTAGATTAGGACCAAACAGAGTCTGGAATTATTTAAAGAAACTGTTTTCAACTTTTTCGGAAAAGGTCAAGAATACTCTTGTTAAACTGGAGCCTTTTTATATTGTATGTTTACATTCGTCTGCCAAAGAAGACATTCCATGCCCTCAACCAAAACACACCCTGCGTGGTACGGTGACTCATACGCTTGAAAAGAGCACTTGAGATTCATACCTGGGAATGGTATATCAGTAGTAATGATTAGTCACAGAGATTACTGACTCAGTAAGCGCTCATGGCCTTGCAATGAAATCGCTCAGGATGACAAAGAGCCTGACTGCATCCTCCGAGGTTGGGGATCGGCTCTGTACCTTTGTCTCTAGTGTGAGTGTGTGTTCTCTAGTGTGATCACAAGTCCACAATCTGGTTTTGGATGGCCGTTTCATGGCCTTCTCTGTTATGACATGGATGTATTTTGTATGAATGTGTGTGTTGGTGGGAGATTACTGTATTGTCAGCACATCCCATATCTGTATTTCAGACAGATAAAGGAAGGCTAATAAAATTCAATATCACAATATTTTCCAGAGATATGACAGCGATGTATACGTTTGCATTAGGAAAGTTAATAATCCATGCTACGTGCTAAATGAATGCCTTACAAACCTGACATGCCTTATTTTTGCTTGTACTGCTTTGTTGTTTCCTTCTCTTAACCATCACACTGTGCTGTAAAGCCAGGGTTTCCACTAATACTGTTAGTTAGTGGTTAGTAGTTAATGTATTTTTGACCTGTACAGTCTGAATCACTTAGCAAATGGCAACTATCTTTTGTTAGCTATCAGTACCAGCATCTGTGTTGTTGCCCAACCAACAAAGGCCTTATAAGGATTTCTCAGGGAGAGCCAGAGACGCAGATAAAAAGAGTCCTAGGGTCATCATACAATGAGGCAAATCTGAAACAGGAAGCTGTGTCTGGAAATGAAAGGGGAAGTTGCAGTTCCACCCCTCCCCTCGAAAAGCCTACGGTGAATAGACATCATTGTTTCAACAGCTGAACCATATTCAGCCCTTCATACAGTTTTATCAGTGCATCACGGCAGTCATTTTATTAGCATATTATCTGTTATTTTTATTCATTTATTTTTAACCATTTGAAAACAAAAGCTGGTCTTTACGTTGCGTGACCACTTTGTGATGAATGGCTCAATAGAAATGGTCCAAAATGACTTGCAATGAAATCTTGCATTAACTTACATTAAGACTCCTTATAAAAAGTTGCTTTTTGAAATTTAAGGTGTGGTTATGACAACGGCCGCATGTCACATTGGTCAGCTTTTTAGTCCTATTACACTCGGTATGACAGTGCATTGACCTCTGCATCCTGGTCCCCGGCTCACCCACACAGTTCCCATTGTATTGACACTAAAAATGGCACGGACCCTGAAAATGGCATACCGAGCGTGACCATTCTTCCCACCGTACCTGGAAGTGAAATACGTGTGGGGTCTTGCTCACAGATGCACCTTTGTGTTTCAAGGCTCCTGTCTCTTTAAGAGCTGCCGATGACCTAATATGGATATCTCTGGCTGAGTCACATGGCCCAGTGCTTTGGAATGCCCATGTCACATGATTTGCTGAAGCGGAAATCAGAAAGTGAGAGGGATTCGTTCTCTCTTTGTGTCTCGCTCCGTCTCTTTGCCTTAACCAAAGCTCTTTTCAGGCTAATATTCTTTATTTTTTACATAAGCATGGCTGCAA